TTTTGTTTTGTTGTTAGGGAAAAAAATAATAATCAAAGAAATGACACTTTATTCACAAGATTTTGACAGTTTGTGTCTAAATCATAATCTCACATATTCAGTAATTCATTGTTCAGAAATCTCATACATAATACCAGTTTCTATGCTGTTTAGTTTGTTTTTTAAACATCTTTTATCTAGTTTATAAGGCGAAAATGTGTTTGAATGAATTGGAGTAAATTATGCAACTATAATAATAATGATATTAATGATAATAATAATAATAATAAAGATTTACATGAGTGAAATAAATAGTACCTGGGATAATGAATGAAGCTAACAGTCTTTTTTAAAACTCTGATATTGTTGGTTTTAACTTAATTTGGTCAGACACTAATTGTCTTCTATGTTTTGTTTATTAGTTATTTAAAAGATATGTTTACAAAGAAATCTTACAATCAGTTTGTGAACTATGATGGGTATATAGTTTATGAATAATATGAGGCTAACAGCTTATGAACTGGTATTTAGATAAAATAATGGAAGTCGCATTTTTAAAATGTATGGGAACAGATTTGAACCGAAAATAACTACAAACTACACTAGAATTGGTCAGTATCAAAATAATGTACATTTTTATTTGTTATTATTACTTAATGAATGGGACTCAAATACATCGCATGCAAAACGGTTATTCACCACAGCTAATGGATGAAAGTTGTGGATCGACTGAAGTCAGACATGTATATCATGGAATATTAGTTCAATGGTCTAGTGCTTGAGCGTTTGCTTGAGAGACAAATGATTCTGAATCCCATTTCGGAAGCATAGTAGTGGTTGCGTGTTTCTGAGAAATAACATACTGGTACAGTGAATGAGAACATAGTCGGAGAAAACCAAATGTACTTTAACACAACATTACACCATATCATAGTAAACTCTGAGAACCATATAGTAAATACATCAATTGTAAAAATATCCATGAATTGTCTCAGACTTTGTTATTCCTTTGTTTCCATACTAGTCACTTTCTGTTCTCGTTCACTTCTAAATTTTCTCAACCTTCTGCCGCCAGGCATTCTACTTTAGATCGGTGATACATGCTACTTATATCTGTCGACATCAGTAACACGCACCACACTAGTACGATATGGCCATACAGTGCTTTCAGGTTTTCAATGGTGATCTAGCTACAATCGGTTTGTAATCTGAACTATAAAAATAACAGTTCCTAAACTATCTTTATGTACCATGTTAGTTAGAACAGTAAGAAGTGTGCATCAAAAACAATATCATACTAATAAATTCCAAAACTGTTAATGCGTTTAAAAGTTACTTTAAAATAAACTATTTACATAATGTCATTATATGTGAAAATTATATTTCAATCGCTGAGAATATTTCAAATATAATTTTCACATATAATGACTTCTCTTTACTCGGCGCTCAATTACTGTCAAACTATTCGTTCTAATCTTGACGAATATTCGTATAAATTATTTACATAATGTTTATTGAAATATAATGATTGGGATACAGTACCTAGTATTCATAACCCTTCTTATAATTTAAATAAATTAGTCCATTCTGTGAATTTGATAAGGCAATGCAAAGACTGAGTTGATTTGAAAATGTGATATATATGCTATAAACTTTCGGAATAACCTGATCAAAAATATACTCGGCCTATTAATCTCTATTCCATTAGATGGCTCACTATACTAACGATAATTTCCTATTCTTTTCATACTATATTGATTTCTTTTCTCGCTTTTATTTAGAATTATCACCTAATATTCATTTGACTATTTATTCAATTGAATTTTATTAATTTTTACCAATGCTTTAAAAAGCCATTTCCAGAAAAGTTGTACCCTTTCAACTACATTTATGTGTTGATTTGTTTTGTCTGTTGAACATGCCAAAACCTATGTCATCAAGACAAATATTTTGATGGTGCTTGATTTTTAGTTGACTTATGCGGTATACTGATTCAACGTAATTAAACTATCTTTGAGCGTAGTATCTTACTAAAAGTGTGGAATATGCAAAACAACATACCACTGGTTCTCTTAACAATTATTCATCAAGCCCTGATCTTGATTTACATTTTAATTATAAATAAGTTAAAGGGTAGTTATTTCAGGAAAGTCCTGGTTACATGATCTTCTTGTGCATAGTATCAACCGACTAAATATCTTTAATTACACAGTAAAACAGCAGTTTTACGAATGTTATTAAAATCCCAATACTCAATATAGTCAAACATTCTCGCATATTGAACTATCAAAAGCTGAATGGTTACATGATTGACATGAAGAATCTACCCTTAGAAATATAATAATTGGAATAAAAAAGAAATATTTAAGACTTTATCAAAACGATCGTTTTACATAATACTCTGAAAGTAGAACAAATCGGCACTGATATATGAAAATGATTATCTGTCATCATGAAAATAGTTATATGACTTCATTATACCGGTTATTGATATGACTGAAAAGTCTTTGTTTATGATTTTCAGAGATTCTTTGACATTTAATCAAAGTCTGATAACATAAACGTTTGTTTTAAAAGCATTAGTACTCTTTTATACATTAAACTAAAAAAAATCTTATTTTGATAACTAACAACCATACGTAATACATCAGATTAACTCTTACTACTACTACTCCACCTAAGTATATTCATTTATTTGTGAAATAAACAAAAAAACATTGTCTGCTTTTTGAGGACGCCTGTCTAAATAAACAGGATATTGTTTATTGGATTGTTATTACATATTTATATTAATTATCCTTTTCCTCAGAGAAACATTTCATATAGACATATGCCAACCATATATTACTAATTAGTTCTGGATATAATATAATTAAATATTTTCATTAAAATGACATAGTACAACCTTTATGTAACAGAATACTTTAAGTGAATAGTCAAGTTATTAATTATACTTATTTATATAATAAAATAATATCTATGGTAAGATATTGTTAATCAATTAATTTTAGAAATATGTCATGGACATAAGAGTACTAACGACTGAAAAACTCTGTTCATTTGAGTATGAATATAGTGAATAAACATTCTCCTATATTTAACTATCAATATAATAATATAATGTAACGTAATAAAGAAAACTTTAGCAAAACAATTATATAATTCAAGCTGTTAAACATTAAGGTAATCTAATAAAATAACACGTATGAATTTATCAATATAGGATTGTGAAAATTGTGGTGTTTTATTGAAATCACGTACTGATCTGAGTTAAACAACCATTGAAAACCTGGAATCAGTGAATCACAGTTTCGTTTTAGTATGAGACTCAGGAGCATGGATTAATCACCTTATATTCAAAAATTAAACCTAGTACCTTTAGTTTCATGAGTGCATACTTAAACTCTAGACCTCTATACTGCGATTTGGTGGTGTAGAATTTTTTCATTTTAACATGTTTATTTCAATACTAGAGGAAAGTGTTTACAATATACAACTTCCTAATAGTAAGAAATCTTGTTTATCTTATCTTATTTATCAAATATAATTAGATTTTGAAACCCAGTTGTAATATAACAAATACAATTAGCACTGATATCTTCTAGTCAGAATAAATTGTTGCTTGATTTTTGCCTTTTCAACTTTAAACTTTACTCTATTGACCCAATTCTCTATCTCGTTGATCTCTAAGACTTTTCAGCAAAGTAGGTGATGAATATAGTTGACCCAAGAAATTTTATGTAATTCAACAGTATACTTACTGTTACTCTTCTATTGAGCCGAAGGAGAAAATAAAAATACTTCACCAACTCAATAGTTGAGTGCATTGCTTGTTACTAAGTAAAATGAGTGATAATAAGTGTAAACAAAACCTTGTTTTATGCTCCAACACGAAGTAATCTATCGGTGTGTTTTAGAAACATATTTCAGAATTTGTATTAATAATTTTATGATCACATAATTTAAACTCCTAATGTTATAAATTCCATACATCAATTGGTTTGAAATGATATTCTGATTTTTAACTAAATCAGTAACATTTCATATTGACTTGTTTCTGAATGTACCATCTTGTGTAAATAAACGCAGAAAAAAATTAATGTGATTGCTTTTCACAGGTTGAAATCATGAGTCAGTTGAAGCTAGACCACCATTGAAAACCTGGAAGCACTGGACGGCCGTTTCGTCCTGGTATGGGACTGTTGTGAGATATCCACTCACTGAAGACAGTGGTGTACGGTGGCGCAACTTCGTGGATTGGTTGAATTAAGACATTAACACCGTTGGATGCCGGCTCAGTGGTCTAGTGGTTAAGTGCTCGCGCGCGAAGCCAGTAGGTCCTGGGTTCGAGCCCCGCGTGGTGCGGGATTGTGGATGCGCACTGCTGAGGAGTTCCATACCAGGACGAAACGGCCGTCCAGTGCTTCCAGGTTTTCAATGGTAGTCTAGCTTCAACTGACTCATGATTTCAACCTGTGAAATTTCTAAAACTCTCCACAAAACCCATTGTGATTGCTTTTATTCGTCATTGGTTAGATGTTTTTTCAACACAATCTTCACTTATGACAATGAGATAAATATACGTATTCTGTAATTCACTTTGTAATGAGTCCCCATAAAAGCATAAGACTATTATAAAAAACTAACTGCATGATGCAAATTATTCATATCCTATAGATTATTTTAACATCAGGATACACTACATAGCAGTTATTTCTAACCGAACCCATTTGCATGTAATGCACTTTGATTCATCTTCAAGAATCTATAGGATATTTAGTAAGTATACGTTTTTTCTACCAGCTCTTAAAAAGTTTATCGTTCAATAGAAATGATGGTTTATTAAAATAACAGATTTTATGGTGAGACTATAATTTATGGACAATCTTTGAACGAATCTTATGTAACCCTGAGAAATATTAACAGTCAATATAAAGTAAAAATATATTATAGAAAACTAAAGAATTAAAGTGGATGCACTTCTTATACATGGTTCAAAAGCTTGTCAAGGTTTGAAAGAGGTTCGAAGGTTTTTAAGTCGCAATACATACGGTAGAAGAACTCATCCATATGGCTCCATAATAGTCGGTCTCTTGAGCCGTGATAGGGTCGTAAAAAATCCTTCAGTCTCGAACATATAGCTTCAATATTGTTAGTGTGCACTCCGATTGTAGGGTCCACAGAATGGGTTTTGTGGACAATTATGTGATGCACATAACCAAGTCTACGCAGGCATCTGTACGCTGTCCAATCATTTGGATGTATTGTAGTGCCTGGCTGCACATATTGCCGTATAACTGGTATTATTGTCGTTGCCTGTCAGTTTCTAACCCTTCGGATGTGTTCCTTTTGGGCTGACCTGTCGTAAATTCCAAAGACCTGCGAGGTATATTTATGGAAGTGCTACTTAGCCAAACTTCTTTAATAATACGTTCTCTGTTAAATTTTCGCTTCCTGACTACTGTTTCGTCTATTTCAACGATACGCCCAACTCCTCCGAACGATTCCTGTAAACTTGTCATTTTTATTACACATATACCTCTACAATACTCATACCACTGAACATCCGAAGCTTCAGTGACGTTTGCAAATGATTCAGTCAGTATTACTGGTGCTTTTATTATCCGATTCACAACAATTATCATAATTTACCTAAGTCTCAATCGGCATCGAGTGAAGAAAGTTCCTGTTCTAGCAGACTTCTTCCTCCAGCATATATAACACAAAAAGAAAATCTTATCAAGGTAGTCCGCACACAGTACAGCAGTCATTTGACTACCGCAGTTACAAATAAAGGAACTTCTTAATAGTCCCATTTATCACATCTCTAAAATCCGCTGCAAACCGATCATACGTGAGCATCAGGTACTGAAATTGGCGTCATGATTTTGAAATCCCTCAAGCGCTTCTGATTGGTTCGTCCATAAATTGTAGTCTCATCCATAATTCTTATCTACCTATATCCAGTGTAACTTGTGAGTTCTTTAGCATGATGCGCTATGAGAGACCTTTATTTATTCTAATATTATATCTTAGATCGATTATGTCATTGTTTTATATTTTTTTAAAATACTGTTATCAAGTTTATCATATCAATGAAAGGCATTTGACATTTACCTTGACGTTTGTGCATATCGATATATTAAAACACTGAACTAGATATTTTAAGATTATCCCGCTTGTTTAAATTTAAATTTTCACTATAGCTTGCTTCAATAATCACTAAAGTAAATGAGAGGATGGTAATATGTTGTCATAGTAACATAATTTATTATTTTTAAATATTACATCCGAAAATTGCAAAATGCAACTATCTAATATAAAATTCCAATACATACAATACTAAGGCATGTTTACTTGTTTTCATGCATGTATATATTTTAACTTCATATTGGTTAAAACATATGACATTATATAATCAGTTGTTGAGATATATATTCTGACAACAGTACTGATTCATCTATTGTATTTCTTTTACATTAGTAAATGTTAGATTAACAATATGACATATTTATTCAAATAATAATATTAGGATATATTCTTCAGTGAATATTTTGATTATTCTATTTTTCCTAACCAAAATCAATGAAATAATAAATTATGAATCTTTACTCCTAATTATCCAGTGTTTGATGAATGGATTGAAGAGAAGTTGATAATCTATTCTATAATATTGAATTATGATTAATTATTCACTAATCAGTTTCATTAGTAACTCATAAAATATTATATTACGTAATGTAATAGTTTTATAAAGAAAAATAGGCGACCTGCTTAAGCATCTGGGCTGCCTGTTCCTGCCATCTAGATATTTCAACAAGTTATCTATTTTTGTTTGTTTTAATATATCATTATGTCTATTAATCGCATAAAATATCGTGGTGCATCTCTGAAAAGTGTACAACTTTTCGTTGTCAAAGTTACAAAAAGCTCAATAAGAGATAATGTGGTCGCTGGCAATATGCAACGAAAAGAATATACATTATTCAGATGTTCATTTACTGGACTGCTAACATCTAACTGGCGATCACTCAATATTTATTGTCAGAATCGACCAAGAATTAAGAAACGGGAACTTGTTGAAATACTTTGTGCTGAGAATTCTATATTGTACCAAAAATATAATATTGAATAAAGCTTATAATAACAATAATAATAGTAATACAACATGCAAATCTAGGAGGTATATGCCTTATAGTATATGTTCCGCTAAAATTCAAAGAAACATCGAAAAAGAGCGATATATTTAGATTATTCATATTCGTATTGTTTAAGTCATCTGCAAAGATTACTACAAGCGACGAAAATTTATGTGTTAGTAATGGTTTTCATCATCATTTGACATGAACTGAAGGAACATTGTAATCTAGAGTTTATTAGGCATTTATTTTAGTTTCGGTTCATACTTTTTGAGACTGTCCATCTGCTTGAAATACTACAAAAGAATATGATGATATTAAACACAGATGAAAATTTGATGATCCTAGTTTTTAACATCAGCTAGTTCGTGATATGACATATTGTTCACCGTATCACCATTTAGTGAATAAATCATCAACTTTTGTCTTGGTTAACCGTACTAGTTACGATATATTAATGGATTTAAGTAGTTGGATTCTGAAATACATAAAAAACTTTTGTACTCAAAAACGGGTTATGTGATTTTTCCACCACAGTTCATCTCAAACTTCCAACAAACTCAATTGATAATAAAAAAATCGTTTAATCTCTTATCATCATTAAACATATGTGATTTCATAATGTCACTGATCTTACGTATTTACCAACATTTAATTTGATAGCTTTCACCAAACTTATATTTTTTTATAATCGATTCAACATAATGCAAAGTATACTATTGAATCTAGGCACGATATACAGTTATAAAATAAGTTAATTCCAATGTTGGATTAAGAATAGTTTCACAGAAAGAAAACAATTCTAGATTGTCATTGGAAAGTGACAATTTGCTGAATACTTTATTTCATATAAACTTTTTTAATCTTACACTAAAAAAAACAAACTAGATGAAACCTTATTGAATCTTATTAAGAAGACGATGCTCCTTTTATGAAGATTGTAAATTGAATTGTAATTGTATCAACAATATTTAAATAATCAGTATAGGGGTTGTGGAGATTATTAAGTATTTAATTGAGATCATGAACCGACTGATGTTAGATCACCATTGAAAACCTGCAAGCACTGGACATCCATTTCGTCCTACTATGAAACTCCTCAACAGTGCGCCTCCATTATCCCGATCTCGGGATTCAAACCCAGAGCCTTCAGTCTCGCGCGCGTACGCTTAACCTCTAAACCACTGAGTCGGCATACAACGGTGTTGATGTATAACCTTAAACAATCCACGAAATTGCGCGACCATCTTTTATTGTACTGTGGTAGATAACTGTCACTACCCAACACGGATTAGCACCACTGGCTACAGCTTCTCACTGGAACTCCGAGGATTCCCACATGAAGCTAGTCAATGGTGAGCACATGGTTATAGAACAACACCGCTGTATGCCAACTCAGCGGTTTAGAGGTTAAACGTACGCGCGCAAGACTAAAGGCTCTGGGTTCGAATCCCGCGGGCGGGATCATGGATTCGCATTGCTGATGAGTCCCACAATAAGACCACACGGCAGTCCAGTACTTTCAGGTTTTCAATGGTGTTCTAACATCAATCGGTTCATGATCTCAATCAAAAATATTTGAATAAAACAACACATTGATTAATAATGTGAAAAATTGATGTTATTCCATGGCTCTGTTAAAGTAACACTCACAAAATACTTATTTCTATATGAACAATCTTAATGAATAAATTCAAATATGAAGTTTATCAATTATCAAATTGTCGCGAAACAATGAACTATATTTAGTTCATAGACGAGATACAAATTTCATCAAAAGATAAAGTCTAACAGAAAAAGTATGATTATACTTAGTGTATTTAGTATTTTAACGTAATTACTTTATCCCGATAATGATTTTCAAATATTTATTGTTGTTTTCTTTTCTAATCTAATCTAAACATGTGACTTTTATAGTTTGTAAATCAAGTAAATCATATTATCAAGTGTTATGATGTATAAATATTTCGGTTTATTAAATCCTTCCCTCATACAGTTACCCTCTGAAACATCTCTTACTGAAATCGCTTTATATTTATGAAAATGATTATTACATCAACAAGTGTTTACTCATTCAAGGTTCGAATCCCAGTATAAATGATTAACAATGAGATTCAAATATATCTAGTTGACAAGTCCCAAATCAAATGAAACATACATTCCAAATTATACTGTTAATCATTATTCAACTTTATTAAAAATATCTTTGTTTTGTTTATCTCTTTTTGAATAATTTAATGATATTCAAAGGATATTATTTCCCTAATTATCTTCTATTAATGCATTAACTTGATTTGAACTAATTGTTCTATCAGTTTAATTATAAATAATGAAATATTGATTGATTCTTTGTTGTTTATGTCCTTACGTCATTCTTTCGTCGAGAATGAAAAAAAAATGGCGGTATTGTTAATTATAATATTTTGATACACAATCAATCAACGACTGTCATAAAAGAAAAAAGAAAATTGTAAATAGAATTTTCTCAACTTTTCAAGATCTTTAAAAAGTACATTTCAAATAAATGATCTACTGTGATTTGTATACATCACTTTACTTGAAGCGTTTCAATACTCAGTAGACGAATAACATTCTATTATGAACACAGTATTTTCGAACATTATTATAATTATTCATAACACAATGATATAATATCAAGAGTTTTAAAGGTAAATTCTCTAATGAAATAGTCAGTTCGTATATTTTTTAGTATCGAATTAAATAAAGCATTTAAGAAAATCGGGAATCAATATTTAAATAGTGTATCATTGTGAAATGTCAAAGTAAAGATTAGATATTGTGAGGTTTTATAAAATCACCAACTAACACATGGACTACAACTAACTAACTACAGGTTATGGCTGTTAGCAATCGCTCAAGAGAGTTTCACGTCAACATAGTTTAAATTATCGTTTTCTGTTTTTGTTTTCAGTGTACTAAATAAACAATAAATCTAAATTATTTGAGCTTAGTATTAAGCCGAATATCCTTAATCAGTGTCTAGAATAATGTGCAAATCCCAATGAGACGAAGACAATCACAGGTTTTATCCTTGACAGGTTTGTAACAAAATTGACTTTAGATTTATTAAAAATTTTCAACCAGTTATTTAAATGTTTTCATCTAATTGGCTGTAAGCTGTTGATGAATTGATTATCATGATTAAGTGGACTATTTGAATGAAAACATTTACTCAAATTAACATGTACAATCTGTTTTCTATATTTACCTCAAATATATATCTAATAATATAAGGTGTTTATGGCAATTATACACGTATAATAGTAAACGTATTACTCATATATTCTGAATGTTCATTACATTAAAAATAAAGTTTAAGCTTTAAAAATTAACTCCAGTATTAATGAACTGAAAAATTTTGTTCAATTAAACCCTTTTTTTCATTTGTTTTACCTTAAAGGCACGTTAAAAGTCCATTTACTTTTAGTGATTTCCCAAGTGAAAACTTGCATTAAAACTTGTATTATAACTAAAAAACATTATGCAACATTAGAATTTATGTATAACATCACAAGATGTCAGGAAATGTAATAAAAAATTGTATAAGTTAAGGTTAGAGTTTAGTAATCCTTAATGTATAGATAGTAACTTTAGGGAATTCAAAATGCATACTTATTCTTACTTACATACTTACTTACGCCTGTTACTCCTCGTGAAGGAGCATAGGCCGCTCACCAGCATTCTCCATCC